TCCAAACCAGGAAACATGTAACCGATCGTGTTGTTGCGCTGACATACATGTGTAGCAGAAGTGTGGGTAACCTTACGTTGAGGCAAACCATCAAACTTGCATGCAGTCTTGATGTCCCAGTGACCATTGAAATTGCAGTTATGGCTCATTTAGATTGGATCCTGGTCTTGTAAGGCTAAAATAAAGCTTTAGGGGCATTAACAAGAGGGTTGGCATGTGGTTAGACCATCCTGTGAGGGCTTTAGCTGCTACTTGCTAACATCACGATGCTACTTCTCTATATTTAGTCATAAACCCAATAGAACAGAAAACTTGACCTCATGTAGGATAGAAAGCATCACTAAGGTCGATCTGGTTGATCCTAAAGGGGACTTGAAAGCCTTCCTGCCCATCCATTTGGATATTTCAGAGTCATGAACCAACCAGATCGCACGGATAAAGAGGTGTGGATGATTTGGACTCGGTTTAAACATGCAGACTCAGTTACAGTCCGATTTGTTGATAAGGGTGGCTGTGGCTCAGGTGGTAGAGCAAGGTTGGCGGTTCGATCCCCGCCCCTCCACAGTCAAAGTGTCCTTGGGCAAGACACTGAACCCGAAGTTGCTCCCAGTGACAGGCAGCAACTTGCATGGCAGCTCTGTCACCATTGGTGCATGAATGGGTGAATGAGAAAAGGTTTTTGGATAAAAGCGCTATATAAGTGATCATTTACCCTTTTGATTGTTCTCCTGTTGCCACTACACAAGCCTACAACCATGATGTCCTGATCCTTATCATAACAAGCTTTTGTGTCATCAAACCATTGGTTGTCTCCAAGTTGTTGCTCCCATCATTAGCATAAAGTCGTACCTTGTTACCCTCCCAGGGTCACACTCCTGGGTGATAGCTAAGTTTCAATTAACGTAGGATGTGCCTGTGTGTCTGTATAGGTAGATGTTGGGTCGAAACACTTGCTGGTGTGTAGGTACCTTTCTTGTAAGTAATCGTTTTTGCCTCTTCCATTTTTGACGTCTTCCTCTACTAGTAAATCTCTCCAGCTTGTCAAACCGCTTCCATCCAGGGTCAGATCTTGTCTCGTCTTTGGTCATCGTTGACCTGTTTGTCTGACTTGGTCAGAAGCAGATGTCGAAGCAGCCTGTGATTCATTACAGGGTTAACGAGTCTTTGCCTCACCTGCTTCCTCCTCTGGCATTAGGGGTTTCTGTGGTTTCTGGCTCACTTTTCGAATCAAACCACACGGCTTTGATATTCCCCTCTCGCTCTCGTCAGTAAGGATCCTGTTTTTCAGAGTGCAGTCTAGCCCCGGGGCAGGAGGCTTATTCTGCGCCAGTCGATGTCTGGATGGCATTGTACAGTCCATCCGGCCGAGCTGTATTTAAAGGGCTCGATGCCAAAACAGGACATCCATCTCACAGCGGAAAGAATTATTCCTGCTTGTAAATTCCTCAGTTGTTCCTGTAAGTGCTTCAGTTAGAGCAGAAGGTTTCTTTCTTTTTTTTTTTAAGGGAACACTTAATTTATCGGAGCAATTAGAGCTTTTTTTTTTTTTTTTTTTAAACTCGGCTTCATATTGACACCTGTGAGCTGCAGTGCAACCCTCCGCTGTCAGCCAATAGGAGCAACTATAGAACACATGCTAAGTAGCTAGCCTCAAAACATGAGCAGGAAATTTTGCTGAGTTGAGTTGAAGGAGTTTCTCTGACGGTGATTGGAAGTGTCTTTTGGTTTCAGATCCCCCTGTGAAGGTCCTCTTTCCTCCGTAGAAGAGACCTTGTTGTTTCTGGAGAGTGTTTTTTTCTTTGTGGCCAATCTTCCTGGAGCGCATTCACTCATGGGAAATGTCCTTTCTGTTTTAATGACCAGGCAGATCTCTTATTGGGGAGAAGCTGCTGCTGCTGCTGCTGCTGCTGGAGCAATAGATCAAGGCAAAGCCATAGAGCTGTCAACTGCAGCAATAGTGAAAACACCTGTTTTAGTCAACAGCCTGCCAAGCTCGACTAAATGACCGCGAAGAAACAGCAAAGGACAGGAAAGAGTTGCGCTGAGTCATACGATGTGAAGCAACTTAAATAAATAAAACTACGGCAGGTGATTTCACTTACGACTCCAGCTGAAGATGGTGAAACGTTTCATGAGAGAAACGCTGAGGGCTGCCAGCAGGGTTCTGGTCATTTTGTCAGATGTTTCAACACTTTGAGCGTGAATCAAACCAGACGCAACTTCCCCTGCTCGCCGACGATTCTCCTGAGGTTTAAGGGGGAAAAAATCATGGAAAAGTCAAGTCGATAATGTGATAATCCACAAGTGCGTCCCTCCGGCTGGTGTCTTCTTTGACATGATTCAGGGAGTAGTTTATGGAGTAATCAGCTCAAGCGGTGCTCCATCAGAGTATCAATCTGCCTCTGAAAGTACAACTCAACAGTTTTATTTATATTATTAACAACAAAAGTCACCTCAGGGCTCTTTCAGTAGGAAGATCAAGACCCTGGAATATTATATTATAGAGTAAAACCCAACAGTTCCTTCCATCAAGCAGTTTGGCGAGAAAAACTCCCTTTTAACAAGAAGAAACCTCCTGAGATTTGAAATATTGGCTTAAAACTTAGCTTGGGGAGTTTAAAGGATAACGGCAAATGAAACATGCTGTTGAGCTGCATTATGGGAAATGTAGGATGCAACGTTTTTGAGGCATCACCTAAGGGGGAACCAAAATTCAAGGTCTCTGAACATTTTTTTCTAAAATCTCATCAGAACCATGTTGGCTCCACGCCTAAGGAGTCCCAGAAGATGAGAATATTATATTAAAACGAGAAACCCAACAAATCCCTTTGCTCAAGCAGTTTGGTGGCAGTGGGAAGAAAAAAAGTCAATTTTAACGAGAAGAAAGGCTCAGGTAGGCCAGATGTCTGCCTTGACCAGTTGGGGTGAGGGTACCATTATAGGAGATGTTTCATGACTCTGGAGAGGTGGTACCATCGAGGTTCTGATGAGATTTTAAAGGTTGGCCTAGATCTTGGCTCATGCAGTTGGAAGGATGAAGGCAAATGAAACATGCCATTGAGTTGCATTATGGGAAACGTAGGATGCAACATTTTTGAAGCATCACTTACCAAGACTCTGAGTTGCTGAACTTTTTTTAAGTCTTGTGCATTTCCTCTCTGGATGAGCAGCATTAAATCTACCCTTTGACACCTCACTACATCATTACATTTAGCCAATATGTCCAGCATTAAGGTTTGCCATCTACTCTTCGAAACATGGAGCTCCCTCAGCAGGAAGTGAGGGGCAGTAGGTGGGGCTTTTGACAGCAGCAGTGGCATCAGGTCGGGGCGTCGCCGTCTGGTTAGCGGAGCACACAGAGACGCAGCAGCAGAACGAACAGAGCGCTGAAGGTTTTAGGATGATTAAAAGGGCTCTTTACATGTTTCTTTGCAGCTATATTTCGCCTGCGTTGCCCTTTGTGGACATGACACAAGGAATGCGTGTTTTCATATTTGCTTTCTGAGCAGAAGAATGTACATGTGGATAAAATGTAGATAAAATAGAAAGTGTGAAACCCACTAGCGTAGGTAGAAACACACGTGTGCATTCAAACATGCATTCACACCTGGAGACGGAGAGAGTCAAAAGAGAGTTGTGGCAGGATGTTGAGAACTATACTTACCTGCTTCCTGTGGATGTAAACATACAGTATGTGTGTCCCTTTGATTCTCAGACATCAAGTGATTCGAAGGTGTTTACGTCTGTGTCACTGCAGAACACTTTGTGAAATTATGCAAATGCCATTACAGACGATTACTGCCAGCATGTATAACTTTATGGACCGTGTTTATGTTGAGGGAGATGAAATGTTCAGCCGATGGTTGAATTTGAGAAATAAAACAATAAAGTCCTTTTTCACCAGTTGACTGCGTGAGGAAGTTTATCCTCCAGCAGCCGTCTTGTCTGATCGAAGCAGGCAGTTGTGAATAAAATAAGGTCTGATGTCACAGTTTTTTCTTTAATACTGGTGATATCAGGTCTATGGAGTAGTGAGAGTGCCAAATTACAAAAATAAATCAATAAAAGAATAATAAAAAAATATAAAAGTGGAAATAAAAAGAAGAATAAATAAAATAAATAATAAATAATGTGGCAATATAAAGCGATATTAATCAAACATGAATCCATCAAAGAAAAGGCTAATAAAAGTTGAAATATAAAGACAAATAAAGAAAATAATAAAAATACTAATAATTTATTTTTGGATTATTTTTTTATTTTATATTCTTATTTTTTTTTTATTTTAAAATTTTTATTTTTTATTGTTTTTTCATTTTTATTTTTTCATTTTTTAATTATTGTTTCCCCCTAATGTTGCCCTAAAGGCATAGGAAATATGTGCATGACAAAAAATAAAAATGAAACATAATAAAAAATAATAAAATAATACATTTAAAAAATAATTAAAACTAAATAAATTAAAAATTAAATATGCAAATACAAAATAATTTAGAAAAAACATTATTATTTTTATTATTTTATTTATTTGTCTTTATATTTCTACATTTATTAACCTTTTCTTTTATGGATTCATTTTTGATTAATATCGCTTTATATCGCCACATTATTTATTTTTTCTTTAATGTATTCTTCTTTTTATTTCCACTTTCTTTTTTTTTATTCTTTTATTGATTTATTTGTGTAATTTGGCTCTCTTATTACTCCATACTGAAATGTTGTGTCTTTATTTCCACACCAAGTGAACACGTCAGACCCTTTCAAACAGAGTTTTGTTCTCAAATGAATCAGCAGGAAAAGTTCACTAATGCCTCCAGTTTTTATGTTTCAACAGTCAATAAAATCTTCTTGCTGCAAACAAGAAGCTTGAATTAGAGTCTGAAAGTCTGACGAGAGCAGTTGCAGTTCTTGGCAAACAGCTTGAGAAGCTGATTTTTCTTTAAATTGCACTCTGCTTGTGACTTGTTTGTGACATTTCCTCCTGTGTCTTTGTGTTCCAGAGGGTGGCAGACGAACATAGACGGGCTGCGATTCCTCTCAACGCCTTCCACCAGGAGCCCGCCACCCTGGTCTGCTTCAGCGTCATGGTCCTGCTGCTCGGATGGATAATTTACAGTGCGAACAGACAGGTTTAGCCTTTGGAAAGCCCAGCAGACGTAGCATTTGTCTAACATGGAAGTTTTCGGATCTTCTGTTTTTTGTGTGTCCCTCCCGTTTCCAATGCGGACTCCGTTGGTCTCTGGAAGGAACTCTACTTTGGATTTTACCTTTTTTTTGCACCACTGTTTTTCCTTGACGGCCTCTGAGCCTTTGTGATACAACCAAAGAGGCGGGATTTTGCACTCCTTTCTGTTTTTTTTTTCTGCGCTGGGGCGGTCGTATCACCTAAACATGCCTCCGCGAAATGCCGCCTGTGGAAACTCAATCGTGCCTTGTACAGTTTCTTGTTTACTTTTTTTAGCTTCTTCTTCTTCTTCTTCTTGAGGGTTTTATTGTACAGACTATGAGTTCCCTGGGCGATCAACTCCGCCCACCCAGGGTTGTTAAATTACGTGGTGGGTCCAGTCCACAAACTCTCCTTCTGATGGTTTCACATCGCACCTGCACTCACATCACGTAAGGATCCAGCTTGCAACAGACTCGCGACCTGTGTGGGAACCAACTGGACAACCGACTGCATTATAGTCCGACGTTTTTAATCGCAGTGTTTCCAAACTACTGTGCCATCTTTTACATTTTTGTTACCATGAAATATATACCTGCTTCTGCCTGCATTGTACATTTTGCGTGAATGAACTGCACACCAGCGTTTCCAGCCACACGGATGCACTTCGTCCTGCTAATCTGGGTACTATTGGACACAGTTATTAAGAGATCATCGTATTACAACTAAAGTCCCATTTGGACGGGTATAAGTAGAGGCTTTTGTTTATGAAAACACATTTCTGTTAGTTTTAAAGACATTTATGCAATAGAAAAAGCGGAAAATTCATCTTTTATCCGTGTGTTTCCTGATTTTTTTTTGCATCCAGTTGGTTCACTATAGACAGCATCACCGGTTAATGCCTGACATGAAGCTGTCTACGCATATTATTATTCAGTTAATCTCATTAATAACAAGTCAGAACCAGCCTACTGTAGTTACAGTAGCAGCCTTCCAGGATTTCAGAACCGGTTTCACCTCTGAATACTACCTACGGATTTGCATTACCAGGTTTCATCTTTGCTCGTGTTGTGTTCAGCATTAAAAACAAAACATTTTGCACGTTAACAACCAAAAAACAGGAGCTGCTCGTCGATGCAGTGACAACATTCAAGTAACTGTTACCAACGTTCCCAATCAGCGGAGTGAGCGAACAAAGTCGACGGCGAAACCAGCCATTCAAACCAGTGTCATGTTTACTCATCGACGTTGATATTCTGCTACAGTGACCCATCAGCCAGTACCGTCTGTCTTCCACCGTTCTTTGTTTCAGCCTCTGGTTTCGCCGTCAGCAGCGAACGTAGGCGGCGAGCAGTTTGTCGACAAGGTCACGTTATCCGTTTATTAGCTCATTGATTCAGGACCCGGCCAAGTCTCCTCGGGCCTGCCAGGTCATTAAACACTCAAAGAGATTTCTGGACACAAACCAAACACTGAATAATGCAGAGTCAAAGAGAGGGAGGGGGGGAGGTTTGTCACTCACGGCTTAGCCAACAGCAACACAGCAAACAGTGGTGATACAGGGTTCACATTAAATACAGTTCTTTTTTTCTTATCTTTGAGTTCTTTGTGCTCATTGAAACACGAGTTGTGTTGCTGTGTGACGAATCGCCAGAAGCCGGGCCGTTGTTTTTGTCATGATTATTAAAATACCTGTTACCACTTTGCACCTGCTTCCACCGGACAGAACGATAGAGAGCTGAGTACATCATGAAAGCCTGTTATGCAAAAAATGTTTGTTCATTTGTATGCATGCATGTCTGTATTCTCCTGATTTAAGATGCATAAATTCACTCTGTTGACGCTGAACAATGTTCGCTTTTTGAATGTACTGTTGTGGACAAAAAGAAGAAAACTCATGCAAGAAAAGATTAGACCGAAGCATTTTATATCACCAAGAGTGCATTTAAAACATGAAAGCTTGGAGAATTAACTGTTTGCTGCTGTTTATTGGAGATAGGGAAGTTAATTAGATGTAGTCTTTTGGTGAATTTGCCGTTTTTTGGCAAAAGAAAATGCAAGTTTATGTAGTTTGTCTAAGTTTGACGATTTTCACTGTTTTGGTCTGCGACCACAGGAGGCAGTAGTGTGCTCATTACGACTTCCTAAACTATTTGTGAACACACAAAAAAAGGCTTAAAATCTAGTCTTTTAGTGAATTGGGCATTTTTTGGCCAAAAAATCTCCCGTTTATCTGGCTTGGCTAAGTTTGCCGTTTGGCTCTGCGACCACAGGGGGCAGTAGTGAGCTCATTACGACTTCTTAAACTGTCCGCGAGTAAAAAAAAAAAAAGGGCTTAGAATCTAGTCTTTTGTGAATTGGACATTTTTGGGCAAAAAAATCTCAAGTTTATGTGGCTAGTTTAAGTTTGTCGATTTTCACCATTTTGCTGTGTGACCACAGGGGGCAGTAGTGTGCACATTACAACTTCTTAAACTGTTTGCGAGCAAAAAAAAAAAAAAAAGGCTTAAAAAGTAGTCTTTTAGTGAATTTGGCATTTTTTGGTGAAAAAATCTCAAGTTTATGTGGCTTGGCTAAGTTTGCCATTGGCTCTGCGACCACAGGGGGCAGTAATGTGCTCATTGCAACTTCTTAAGCTGTTCGCGAGCAAATCAAAAGGCTTAAAATGGTAAATGGTCTACACTTATGTAATGCTTTTCTACCTTGGTAGTACTCAAAGCGCTTTACGATGTTTTCTCATTCACCCATTCACACACCAATGGCGACACCATTGGTTTTGCCCAAGGACACCTCGACTGTGGAGGACCCGGGGATCAAACTGCCAACCTTACGATCACAGGACAACCCCTCTACCACCTGAGCCACAGATTTAAAAGATGAAAATATTAACTTCCCCACCTCCCTTAAAGAAGCACGACATATTCATTCATTCGTTCGTTCTTTGTCCTGCTTTATGATTCATTTTCCATGAATATAGTCTGAACATTGACCAAAGAAAATTGTGCACAGCTCTTGTTTTCTGGGTTCGTTTAGGTGGTACCAATGAAATGCTTCCAGACTCTGTGTTGCCTTGATTAGTGCCAGTAATTACAGAGTCACACCTTCTACACCCGACTGAAAAGAAACTTGTTGTTTTATGTCTGAAAGTGTTTCCATCGCTGTCGCCCTGCGAGGTTAAATGAAGCCCGTTGTAACACAATCAATAATCAAACACACGTTACCGCGCTTGGATGTTTGCACAGTTGTGTCAACACCGACGCGGCACCGATTAATCCTGCCATTCATCACCCCCGCCTCAGCGTTTCAGCTCCTCTGTCATCTGTGTAATCTCACGTTTTAATGGTGTTAAATTATCTGCTCAGCCGCAAGGTTTCGTTTTCAGACTTCCTCCTCCAGCGATTAGCATCGAACACCGAAGGGTGTCTGTCGTTGGAGGCGTAATGTGCAGATTTGGGGGATTACTCGCAGAAATCCTTAAAAAAACGATCCATCTCTGACGCCAGTGTTACACAGAAATGAAGTCCTAAATGCTGGATTAGACGTCCCGGTACAAGAGCAGCACCGATGCGGTTTATTGGATGGAAACGGGCTGCTTGGATGCGTACCATGAAAAACACAAAATGGCCATAAAGCGATGGAAAAACAGCTGAAAACAGGACTTCATCCGACCAGTTCAAGAGTGAAACTTGTGTCATTGCGTCCACATGTGACTTCCACCACGCTGTACCACACTACTCTCTGTTTCTGTTTGTCACATCCTTCCCTGAAATGTCCCAAATAACAGGCAACTGTTCACATTAGACTTCATAACAGTGTCTTCTTTTTTCTTTTTTTTTCTTGTTTCTGGGGAAAATGCACAAGTCTCAGGCTCGTCTTCTGCTTTCCCTCCTTGGCTGTGACACTGAGAGCACTGTTGATTTTCTGATATTGTGCCATGTCAACACCTACAACCTCATTCTGAAGTACTGTATTACAGCTGGAGGAGCGCGAGAGGGGGAGCATGGCAAAGAGGGGAGGAAACCGAGAGGTGAATTGCCGCCTTGTGAAACTGATATGGAAACCTGGTGACGGTCTTCTGTAGGTGTCGGAGCTCAGAAACACTGTGCGTGACATTCAGGGTTCTTACTGACTCGCATCAACACTGCTGGAGCTGCTTTAGCAAATCGCCTGTTTGTAATTGTTTTGGGGGCTTTTAGCGTCGCTGAAAATGGGAGGGAGTCGATGTTCTAGCGTTATGTGGGAAAGTACGTTGATAACTGTTGGCTTTTTTTTTATTTGCACAAGCTTGATTTTCTTTAAAACAGTGCCTACATGTAAAGGAGTTTTTCAATCAGTTGCTGAACAGAAAAATCTATATGTGATGTTCTTTGTGGACAAAAATGTAAATAAACTCTTGACGTTGCAAAAATACCTTCTTAGTTGTCCACCACTTTCAGATGTTGGCTTGCTAAAAACCACTCTTCCTGCAGAAATTGCAAAACGTTTGAGGGTTTTCTGGTTTCAGATCCTCACACAGCCCCCCAGAGGTGGGATTCAGACCTCAGCTTTTACTGTAACCCTACAGTTCCTCTGTCTGAGCCATTTCTTGGTGGATCGTTGTCGCTTCAACTTTTGGACGGATGGTCTCGCACCATCTCGATAAGACTCCATAGTTGAGCCAGGACATTTCCACCACCTGGTGCCAGGCTCTTCTCCTACACATGTACCGTTACTGTGGTAAAACATCTCCGTCTGTGATTCGTGGCACATTATTCGATCGTTTCTGGCACTTTGACACCAACGTTTGCAGAGTTTCCTGCAGACCCTGTGATGGCATTCTGGTGCTTTTTGGAGATTTATTTTTGTAACCTACAGTCTCCTCTCTGGACGGATTAGCCGGTGGTTTTAAACCAACGCCACAGGTAGATGATTCTCACAGAGTTACTTCATGTAATTTGGAGATCTTCGACAGACTCACAGACATCCACAACTTTTTTTTCCCCCTGAAGGCTTTATAGAGCTCCTTAGATCTTGGCAGGACGACACCCCACACCTTAATAGAAAAGAGAATAATAGATGTGGGAGGTTTAAATAGTTTCACTTCCAGAAGAGGTTCTACTCATCGGCTTCTAATTTGTGGTTTTATGAACTCAAAGCTGTGATAAACGTAGAGACGTACTGACACTTTCCAAATCATTTCACCCTTTTTTTATTTATTCCAATTGTGAAAACGACGACAAAAAGTCAATTCCATGTCTGACTAAATCCTCTTTATCTGTCGGCACTGTTTCAAGGAGAATCGTTTGTTTGCAGATGCATCAAAAAGCCAACAATAGATTCACTTTTTCACGGGACTTTTATTTTTTTTTTTTAGCAGAAAATCTAAAAAAAGACCAAAAAAAAATTTGCATCTTTGGAGTCAGGTTGAGCAGAAACTGAAACTAACAAACCTGAATGACTCCAAGTGACCCAGTACAACTGTAGCAACGTATGTCTTTATTTTTGTTTGTTTATAATTTTATTGTACACTGAAAATGTTGTAATTATGCGGTTTGACTGGCTTAAGAATGCTTTTAAATGTTGTAAATAGCACTTTTACATCTTTTTACATTAAACAGAATGAATAATTAATGGCATAATGTGTTTATTTATCATCAGAAACCCTGACATGTTATCTATACACCGCCTGATCCTCACTAGGGTCGAGTGTAACTTTGGGGGAATCTAACTTGGTTTGGCAAATTCCAGCAGCTGTGACCTTATATTAAATTCCCGAGCAAACCTTTGGGTGTATTTTTGAGCAGAAGGAGCACAGTGGAATCTTTAGGTGCTCGATGTGAACAGAAGGGATCATCACAGTAAACGAAAAGTGTTTCAGTCGGACACCTGATTGCTGCTCAAAGGCAGACATGAAAATTTGAAAATAAGTTCAAGGAAATATGCGCAGAAAAATGTGCACATTCGGAATGACGCATGTATTTCTTTTGCTTTTAAAGTGACTTTATAAAAACAGATAAATAAATAAAAATAAAAATGAAAAAAAAAAAATTAAAAAAGATTTAAAAAACAAAAAATAAGTAAATGAAATAATGAAAAATTATTTTAAAAAATAAAACAATATATTTTTATATTTGTCTTTATATTTCTATTTTATTAGCCTTTTCTTTTATGGGTTAATTTTTGATTAATGTTGCTTTATATTGCCACATTATTTATTTTTTATTTCATTTATTTATCTTTTTATTTCCGCTTTTATTTTATTATTCTTTTATTGATTCATTTATGTAATTTGGCACTCTCACTACTCCATAAAAACACACCCACTACACAATAATTAAAATACCTTAAATGTATTCACAATCATGTACTGATAAAGAATATGTTTACACATGCAGACCTTTGAGGAGGGAAATTCAATAGAAGTCATCATAAAGGCAAATGCATAAATGTTTTATTGATTTGTTCAGGTGAAGCCTGAGGTCACTTCAGGTCGTTGCACTTTGATGGTATAAAAGTTAATTTGAGGTGAGATGAGGAGAGTTATTTCCCTTTTTTTAAATAACTCAGTTTTTTTAGTTTTTCTTTCCCTTGTCCTCTTTTGCATGTGTGTGTCTGTACGTGTGTGCGTGTCCATGTGTGTGTGTGTGTGTGTGTGTGTGTGTACACGTACACGTGCACGTGCGTGTGCTCATCTGCAGGAAAGTACGGTGCCTTCCACGACTTGGCACAAACACATGCTCGGATAATTATACGTCTTACACACACACACACACACACACACACACACACACATAGAACTCATTAACACACATACACACCCATTCTCGTGTGCGTGCGTGTGTGTGTGTGTGTGTGTGTGTGTGTGTGTAAGTCAGAGCAGCAGTCCAGCAGGGTGGATTCCTCTATCTGCAGGCAAAGGGAGAAGTACCAGTTTTAACCCTGTGTGGTTTTAAGGTGAAAGAACAGGAAAGTATTTCTATGCAGCAGGTTTGT